AAACCAACAAGTTTGGCACTACCAGTCATTCCGGACTTAAGTGATTAGATCACAAGACATTGCCATTTTAATTTTTTGTCAAACTATAATGAAACCTCTTGACCGCATTTGCTTGCTTAGTAGATAAAGATGTAACCATGAGATCAGTGATTCAATATTTGTTTTTAGAGCAGATGTATCTTATAAAGTAGTCACCTAGTGAATATTTGTTTACAATGGTTTTGTTATGCATTTACAGCTTAATTAACTCACTAACATGCACATCATGGTTTTGGGACAATCTAAGAAGTATGTTAATCAAACATTGCAAAGTCCAGTTATGTTATTATTATATTAAATTTTATAGCGCCAACATATTCAGCAGTGCTAACTATTTAATACCATGGATATAAAACAGGTTATTTAAAAAAACAAAACCAAGAGTGCCAGAAATATGAAATGGATCATGTATGGGAAAGATTTAGCATTCATTTCAGATTGTAGTGGGCAATGGGGGTATTGAAGGGCCAATTATGAGCAAGTTGAATTGAAGGTGAGAAATTATGTGTTCATAAATCACATTATGTGCAATAGCTATTGCATTGGTAAGATTTTTGGTAAGATTTTACTGCAAATATGCAGTGCAGTTTTGAGTATAATTTATCTAAAATATCAAGCAAGGATGCATTTATATGGCAACTGTGTGTTTGCTTTCAGGGGTATGTTTGTATGGAGGATTAGTGTGACTGAAGACAATATTGTACTTCACTTTTCTTCTGTTCAATTTACTATGAAACATTTGCCATCTTGTCTAGTGTAGTGTGAGGCAGTGCATGGAGCTGTCCTTCAGCTAGTTCTGATCAACATAGCTCCCTTGTGGCATGCACATTATTGATTGCAGGAAACCAGGACATAAAGTTACGGAGCGAAAGAGAGCTGAGCTGATACCAGAGAGGCACAGCTCCCTATCGATGTTTTGCTTATCGCCGGCATGTGCACCGATCTTTGAGCTTCAAGGCAAGAAAGTCACTATTGTTTCCCTCCTACAAAGCAGTTGGAAGTAGTGGCTATTGCCAAAATAAAATTCTTCCTTGCCAGTTCACCAGGTACCATTTACCTCTCTCCATTAGCGATTGAAAGATTTTTTGTCATATCTCGCTTCATGGAATATTGATGTGGCTCCAGTGAGGCTACTCGCACCACTGGCACTGCCCAAAGGGGGCAGACCTGCCTTGAAAGGGGTGAGTCAACCCAAAAAATCAGCTGTTCATGCTTGTGTGAATGCATGCCAAGCATCCTGTTAATCACACAGGCCACACTACTTGTCCTTAGCATGGTGTGAGCATGTGGTCACTCTATGCTTTCTGCAGACAGTTGCCTGGTGTCCTCAAAAGTGGAACAGCAGGGAACAAAGTTGGGACAGCTTGACAATGGGACACCCTGAAACTGACTAACCTTATGAATCTGGACTTCTGAGTGTATATGATGATTCTAATAGTGTCATTATGATTTTCTAGTAATGCAATTTTTTTTCTTAATTTGTTTTTTATTGAGATTCAGTAAACCGTATTGTGGGTTGCTATAGTCTTCCTCCAGAACCAAGTGTTAATAAAACAGTTATGTAAGCAAGGTGATAAATGACTCTAGGCAGGCTGACCAAACTTTATGACATTGAAGAGTTAACTAGAAAGCAGTACACTTTATATTGCAAACATGTCAAATGCATAGACACAGGTCTACAAGCACACGTGTAAATGCATTTTACCCAAATCTGCATAGATAGAGCACACCGAGCCTGACGCCTGAGACCCTCTCCCACCTCTCAACCGAGAGGCATAATTTTCTGCATACAAGACTATTCTGCTAAAGAGATGATCATGCAACAAGCAAGGACTGCAAGGGCATGGCAATTTGAGAGGCAAACAGTAGAGTTCTCCCACATTATACTGTAGTCACTTAGAGTCCTTAGGCTGGTAGCTCTGGCCCTCCAGCAACACCAACTGTGCTACTGATGGCATTTACCGTTCGCCATCTCAGCAAGAAGAGGTAATACCAAAGCTTTATAAGTAACGGGTCAGAGGATCCAGAGTTCCTTACAGCACTGAATCTTCCACACATGCAAATGTCAGATTGGTCTCTTTACTCAATGGCTGATCAGAGCATCATGTGACCACCTTGAATCTGCAGAAGCTCATCCAGCACCTTTACAGCTCACAGGAGTGTACTTTCCTTTCTTGTTATGATTTAATACCCTACCTTTTGGGAACCGATACCCCAGGGACACTTACCTCTGGACATATTGTTTCTAGAGATGCTAGAGAGATGTCCATATGACAAACAGAAGGCTACAGACAAGATTAAACCTTATATAGGGGAGTTACCATTCTACAACCACAAAGTGTACTTACCTGCTGAAACCTAAATATTCATCGGCAATTCGTACTGAAATCTCCACATGAATGCCCTCTCTGTGATGAGTATGGTGTTAAGAGGGGATGATATGTAATGTCTGAGAATTGCATTAATAACTTTCACATATACTTACCTTTACTTGTTATCTTATAGAGGCATTGGCATGGAAGGGCAGGGAGTGATGTGGTTGATTGTTTTTTATGTATTTTCTTTATAACTTCATGAATGTATATATAAACTGATCTATCTCTTTACGCTTGCATAGACATATTTCACAGGTTCAATCAACTTTGAAATAGGGTTTTTTTGCATATAGGAACCACATCTGCCTTCCTCCGATCCTCTGAAACACTTCCTGAAAGAAAAGAATCTTGAAAGATTAAAAACAGAGGTTCACTTATTTCTACACTTAGTTCCTTAAGTACTTGTGGATAAATACCATCATTACAATTTATCTGCAAGTTTTTAGCAGCATTCATTTGCACATCTATTGCCATCGGTTCTTCCTTAATATATACGGAGGAGAAATAGTTATTTAAAATTTCTACCTTTTCCTGGTCTTCATTAACTAACACCCCCATCCCAGTTTTTAGTGTACCTACACTTTTATTTTTAGTTTTTTTTAAATTTATGTACTTAAAAAATGCTTTGCGGTTGATTTTGTTCTCTTTGGCTATCATTTTTTAATTTTGAAGTTTAGCGAATCTAATCGCCTTTTTGTATGCATTATTGGCTTCCAAATATCTTTTATAGGATGCCTCTGATTTGTCAGATTAAGACTTTGAATGCCCCTTTCTTATTGATAATTTCTCGATTCACTTTCTCACTAAGCCACATTGGTTTCAAATTGTTTCTTTTATATTTATTACCCAATGGTACATACTGAGACATGTACCTTTCTAATATTTGTTATTATTATTATGTCATTTATATAGCGCCATCAAATTCCGCAGCGCTTTACAATGGGTGGATGAACAGACATGTAGTTGTAACCAGACAAGTTGGACACACAGGAACAGAGGGGTTGAGGGCCCTGCTCAATGAGCTTACATGCTAGAGGGAGTGGGGTAAAATGACACAAAAAGGTAAGGATAGTATTAGACTAGTGACAGTTGCAGAAGATGAATCAGTCGGGAGCTATTAACAGTTTAATTGATACGCTTTTATGAAGAAGTGGGTTTTTAACAATTCCACAGGAACGGTGCAGCCCTCGAGAAATCTTGAAGGCGAGCATCAGAGGTGGGAGTACGGACAGAAGATGGACTTAAGTCTTCAGCAGATCATAAGGGCCTAGACGGGACATACTTGTGTATAAGGGAGGATAGATAGGTGGGAGCAGCATTATGTAGAGATTTGAAAGCAAGAACCAGAATTTTAAATTGAGCTCTATATTTTATAGGAAGCCAATGTAGGGACTGACAGAAGGGTGAGGCATGGGAGGTGCGGGCGGACAGGAAGATGAGCCTCACTGCCGCATTCATTATGGACTGTAATGGCGCAAGTTGGGAGCACGTAAGACCACTGAGAAGCGGATTCCTGTAGTCAAGGCGAGAAAGGAGAGTGGAATGGACCAACACCTTAGTTGCATCTGGCGTTAAGTAGGGGCGGATGCGCGCAATGTTTTTGAGATGGAAATGACAGGATTTGGCGATAGACTGAACATGAGGCTTGAAGGAGAGGTCGGAGTCAAAGAGAACACCTAGGCAGCGAGCCTGCGTGGTGGAGCTGTTGGTAGCACTGTAGACTTGGAGGGAGACAGACACAGGAGTAACAACACTTAAGGGAGGAAAGACCAGAATTTCAGTTTTGGTCAAGTTTAGTTTAAGGAAGTGAGCAGCCATCCAGTTAGAAATAGCAGAGAGGTAGTCGGAGACACTAGCCAAGAGGGATGGGGAGAGATCAAGAGAGGACAGGTAGATTTGCATGTCATCTGCATAGAAATGATATTGGAAGCCAAAGGAGCTAATGAGTTTACCAAGGGAGGCAGATGGAGAACAGTAGAGGACCAAGGACTGAACCTTGGGGGACACCAACAGAGAGCAGTTGGGAAGAAGAAGCAGAGCCAGAGAAAGAAACACTGAAAGAGCGCTGGGAGAAGTAGGAGGAGCACCAGGAGAGAGCAATATCTTGTAGACTGATATTGCGGAGGATGAGAAGAAGCCGTTGACGATCAACAGTGTCAAAAGCCGGGGCGGAGCCTGGCTGTGGAGCTGATCAGACGCGTGTAGCACAATCTCCAACCTGAACTCACACTTTAGTTTTGCATTATAATCTCACCCAAAAACGCACCACCCTGATAGAGGCTGCAGATTGGACCGCACAGAGACTACTCCTGTAACACTGAGCTGCCGAGAACGCGGGCTGCATCACCGGGGCCTACCGCAGCAACAACAAGCCTGACTAGAGGCCTGAGTGGAGGTAAGGGCGCAAGTGAGGCAGCCGATCACCCAGCCCGGGACTCCCCGAGGGCAATACTAACACTGCAGAGGACCACCCACAAGCCTTCCTCCCCCCCCTTGCCGGTGGGGGATATCCCGGCATCGGCAGCACACCCTCCACTGATTCACACACCCCAGAGACAGCAAACCCCTAGACTCACCGACTCCAAAATGGCAGATGCCACCAGCAAGCCAGCAAATATGGGGGACTGCGGGGAGCAGCTGAATAATACAATGAACAAGCTGGATGCAATCCTAGCTGCCTTCTGGACCAGGATCTCAGAGAGTGCACAGACCACAGCTGATACCAAGCGGGTTGCTCCCGAGCCACAACACCCGGCTCTCACAGGCCCCAGGGGGCGGACACAGTCCGATAGCCACCAGAGGCTCCCCAACAAGGTGCCGAAGACGGGATCGGAGACTCAAACAGACACACAGAGCCTGTCTCAATACAAGCACCCGCCTCCAGCCGCATCAAAACCACACCAGATATGTGGCACCCAGCTCACCAAGACGGCGCCAACCACCCAATGGAACAATCCTGCTACACCATAAGCCGACGACCCGGTACTTAACCGGATACTTACCGCTGATGTTCCGGGTGATAGGGACCCCCAGGGTATGCACCAGGAGCCCAGAAGGGATCGGATGAGCACAAGCAGAAAAGCAGAGTCTGTCAGGCATGTCATACCATAGATGGACTTTCACACCATGCCGTCAAGCATATGAACTGATTCCCATACGTCAGCAAATCATAACATAACACCTGACTTAAAATTATAGTTATTTCCCATATTGAAGAGCCCATAACCATGGCCCCACACATTTTTTTACTACACCCGCTTATGTTTCCTGTTATTATCCTGTTATTACCTAATCTTGTCTCATGGGACTCCTTAAGTCTGAATTAGCACTAGCGATATTGATGCTAACATGTCTGAATAGTTCATAACGTGCAACATATTTCCTAACCATACCAGATGTCGTTACTAATAATGCAATGCCTTAAACTTACAAACCTCACCGCTACTAGTCATGACAGTTGCACGTTCAGTCTAGCATGCTAAACTATACTATCTTTATGTTTACCTACCTGTATTCCTCATGTCATATACATAAAAATGTGCCGTCTACACTGTAAAATGTGTTGAAAATATGCGCAGAAGCTATCGTGGGTCTACGCAGCTGTTGTCAATCTGAGCACGCGAAAAATAAAGAATTTAAAAAAAAACAAAACAGTGTCAAAAGCCGCAGACAGGTCAAGGAGAATTAGGATAGAGTAGTGACCACGAGATTTTATCCTCAGTGTTCTTTTCACTAAAGAGTTTATGCCATTTATCCTCAGTGTCCTTTTACTAAAGAGTTTATGCCAGTCAATATATTATAAAGCTGCCTTTAACTTATAGAAAGTGGCCTTTTAAAAATTATGTTTTAGTATACTCCAAATTAATTTCTTCTCTGGGCCTCCGATACCATCTTTGAGTCAAAGACATATATACCAATAAACACTTCTGCACGTTGTTGAATCTGAACATCCCCGAACTCCCAAGATTCCTCCAGCTCTCACATTTTCATCAACATTTACCTGACTTTTTGAGATCCACATGCTCACAAACTCACTTTGAGTCTCTATGCACACAGATGACTCCTCCTCCACGTTAACTGACTTTTATATGCAGATCTGAGGAGATGCACCATTTCCGTACTTCAATAAATACTGGGAAAGGATTGGGTAAATATGCTCAGTAGAAGAGCTCATCTTGTCCTCTGCGGACAATCTTCAGAAATACAAATCTATCACATTTCACTGGACACGAAGGCTGTCATCTGGACCTTCTGCCCTAGTATCTGGGACACTGGTCCAAACATAGTGCAATAGTCTGTCATGTTACCCACAGATGTGAGCAGATCTGGCGGTGGTGATGGCTCAATCCCTCCCACCTCCCTTTTTTATTTTCTCTCATAGTATTGCAACCTCTTTACCCCATCCTCTACCGTGAAACCTCTTTCCTTTCTACACTCCTAGCCATCACTTTTATGCTTTACAGTAGAAGTTTAAAGCAACACTATAGGGTCAGGTACACAAACAATGAGGCAAATCGGGGCTGATCAAGCACAAGCCCTTGCCAATCAGCATCTCCTCATTCCATTGAATCCATGCATCTCTATGAGGAAAGTTCAGTGTCTCCATGCTGAGGTGGAGGTGGAGACACTGAATGTCAGTGCTGCACACTTTGCAGCACTTCCCCAAGAAGCACCCCAAGTAGCCATACGAAGAGAGGCCAGTGCAGGTATCCCTAGGCTGTAATGTACACACTGCATTTTCTCTGAAAAAACACTGTTTACTGCAGAAAACCTGAAGGGAATGATTATACTCACCAGGACAAATACAATAAGCTGTAAACTATAGTGTCCCTTTGATATTATATAGACACAGATTTAAATCTCTGTAACATTACATTCTGTTTCTACTAATCACTGTAAATTGAATGGCATGAACTAAGTTATGTAAATGCTTAAAGCAACACTGTAGTCACCACTGGGGGTCCAGTTACCAGGGGAGGGCAGGTAGAGGGGAGGTCTACTTAATTACAAAATGGCAAGAGGCCCTAATTGTCTGTCCAATATGCAAAGGGCACGTAAACAAAAATGTTAAGCATTATGCCAAGACTGGGAAAAACCCCAATAACTCCAAGGGCTATGTAACGGATCGCCTGGCACCCGACTGGGTACCTCCGTTGAAGGATGCTCCTAGCGCTTCCTGAGGACTCCAAGCACTCTGGCAGACACCACAATCACCGAACCGGAGAAACAAATAAATTCTCCCAAGCATATGAATGCTGTAGACAGTTGAATAGGAACCATACGAATAGGTTTACTCTCCTAGCAGTCAAACTGGAACAGCATACAATAAATCCTTCCCCCAATAATGAGACGACACTTCACTTTGAGGGTTAAAACAGGAACTCCCTGTACTGTCACATACAGTCTCTTTTATTCCCAATCCACAAACATAGTACAGCCCACAGGGCGTTACAAAACAACCAATCACATCACAGTTACATCCCACATATTCCCTCCCCTTATCCTGAAAGGAAATTCAATTATCAATTATACATACAGTTAAAACATACTTTCTACCCAACTTTCATAACTCCAAAACCATACATCACATTCACATAAAATTACATATTCACAATCAATCCATTCAGGGGAACAACATATTCAAAAATGGCACAAATCAGACAAGGGGTTCAAAAGTTAGTAAAAAAGTCCTTTGTGGCTAAATGAAGCATGGCTTTCTGGCCCAAACCAGTTTCAGAGTCTTCTATCCTGGAGATAAGTAATTCAATTATCTCCCAGGACAGACACAAGACTCCATTAAGCACATGGTTGCAAAAAGACACAAAACACTTTAAAATACATAAAGTCACATTTTACACATAACACACAGACATTTCACATATCCCCAGATAGCTGGATCTGAGTGCACATTATTAGATGAATGGCACTCAGATCACACAAATAAGCCTTTCTGCAGGGGAAATAAACAGTTTAACCTGCAGGGCCATAGTCCAAAGGGAGCAGGCGAGCAACCAGGCTTCTCCAGTTCACAGTGTATTGGTTTGCCACAAACAGGATGATAGTGGTCGGTATATCTTTGGGAGTCTACGCTTGATGCATATGTCTTCCCAAAGGGTGTGTATATGTGGGCCTGGGTCCTGCTGTGTGCTATCTGGGTTGTGGTTATGGAGGAATGATGCTAGTTGTCTGTATGAAAAGTGCGAGGTATTCGGAATGTTATATGTTTGTTGTAGTGTATTGAAGTCTGTGAGCCTTTTCCCTGTGTGGGCCTTTGCTAAGGTCGTGACGCCTCTATCGTGCCATGGTGTTGCATGAAATGTAGGTATGCAGTATGTTAGTGCCTGTATTGGTGTGGCTTGTGAGACTTGGGAGTTCGAGCTAAGTTTGTTCCTGTGTGTGTCCCAAACCTGTAGGAGTAAGTTGATCTGCTCAGGGGGGTCTACCATTGGTGGTCTAAGTGGTTTGGGGAGCCATATTACATGTGATAGTTCGTATGGTTCCGTCAGGTGTCTTTCCAATGTCACCCACTGTGGAGGTGGTTGATCTATCAGGTGTGGTAATGCCGCTGCTAATATGGAAGCATGATAATAGGCTCGCATGTCTGGGACTGCCAGGCCGCCTGCCCTCTGCGGAGCTGCTAGCAGTTTCCTCGCTACTCGTGGTTTCTTGCCTTCCCATATGAATGCGTTGGCATCTCTTTGGACTGTTTTAAAGTATGTTTGGGGGATTTTTATGGGCAACGTTCTGAAGATATATTGTAGCCTGGGGAGTATGGACATTTTCAATGCTGTCACTCTTTCTGTCCACGTAAGGAACAGATGCTCCCATTTTTTGAGGGTTGACTTGCACTCCTTCCAGACTCTAATATAATTCCCCGTTATCAAATCTTTGTGCTGTCTGGTGATGTGGAGCCCTAGGTATGTTATATAGTCTTTCCTCCATTCAAAATCGTATTTAATGCGTAGCGATTCAGTTAAAGTGGAGGGAAGGTTAATCCCCATGGCTTGTGTTTTCGAAGAGTTTAGGGAGTAGTACGATAGGTGACCGTATGTTCTTATTGCCTGCATTATGTGAGGTAATGAATCCTGGGGTTGTGTTACATAGAGTAAGACGTCATCTGCAAAGGCACTGATTTTGTATTCGATGTTCTTTACTGTAATACCCTTAATCTCGGGGTGGGCCCTGATGGTGCGAAGGAGGGGTTCCAGTGCCAACACATATAGGAGAGGGGAGAGTGGGCAACCTTGTCTCGTCCCATTAGAGACGGCAAAGGGGTTGGATTTGAATCCTGATTGGAGGACTTGTGCTGCCGGGGTGGAGTATAGGGCGAATATTTGATTTATCGTTGTTTGGGGGAGTCCGTACGCTCTTAGGGTTCTGTCTAGGAAGGTCCAGTTAAGGCGATCAAACGCTTTTTCCGCGTCCAGGGCTAGTAACAGTCCTTCTTTCCTATGTCTCCGTAGGCCCTCTAGTAGTAAAGTCAGTTTTCTAGTGTTATCTAATCCCTGTCTACCTGTCACGAACCCGGTCTGGTCATCTCCTATGAGGTCAGGTAGTATGTCTTTGAGTCTGTTGGCTAGTATTTTAGCGTATATTTTGGCATCAGTATTAAGCAGTGAGATCGGGCGATAGTTTTGGCATTTATCTGGTGTCTTTCCTGGTTTGGGGAGTGTGACAATTGTGGCCAGTAGCATCTCCGGTGGTAATGTTCCTGAGTTCGATGCTGCATGATACACTCGTAGTAGGTGTGGGGCGAGTTCCTTGGCAAAGAGTTTATAGTAGCCATTGGTGAGGCCGTCTGCCCCTGGGGATTTTCCATTGGGGAGGCCTGCTATTACCTTCAGGATTTCCTGAATTTCTATGGGTTTTGTCAGATTTGTTTTTTGTGTTTGAGATATTTGGGGGAGATTGGTTTGTCTCAAGTATTCATCTATGTCCTCGGGGCTTGCCCTGTGTGTGGTGTCTAGTGTTCGTAGATTATATAGTTTGGAGTAGAATTCAGCAAATTCTTTGCTGATGTCCGCTGGCGTGTGGTGTATTTTGCCGTCTGCTCCCGCGATTCTAGTAATCTTTGTGTTGGCATATCTGGCTCTCAGTCTATTGGCTAAGTATTTACTGGCTTTGCCTCCGTTGTGGTAGACATTGGCTTTTAATCTATAGAGTAAGGTTTTAGTTTTTTCTGCGTTTAATTCGTTTAGCCTCGAGTGCAGCTTTTTTAGTTGTGCTGCCAGTGCTGGGGAGGGTTGTTGTTTGTTTTGTTTGGTTACTAGTGCTATTCGTTTGTGGCAGTCTAGGAGTGTGGTTTGGTGGTGCCGTTTCAGGAAGGATGCCCTTCTGATAAATAGCCCTCTCATAACCGCCTTATGTGCTGACCATACTGTAGTATCTGAGATCCCCTGTCCTGCATTTGTTGTAAAATAGTTTTGGAGTGCTTCCCTACTCTCCCGCACAAAGGTTGGGTTCAGTAAAAGTGAGTCGTTCAGTCGCCACGTCCCCCTCCCCTTGAATTGGTAGGCGTCCAGGAGATCTAGGTACACCGGTCCATGGTCTGACCATGTTATTTCCCCTATTGTACATTTCTTCAGTTGTTCCAGGAGTGTCCTATCTAGGAAGATTGCGTCTATGAGCTCTTGAGTGGAAGGTGTAGTCCCTCTCCTCTGGGTTTAGTGCCCTCCATGCATCGTATAAGTCATAATCTTCTATCAACTTAGTGGTTAGTTTGCTTGTAGCGGCTATTCTCTTTTTACTGTTACCTGTGAGAGTGGCTGTCGTATCTAGTGTGGGCGACTGGATACTATTAAAATCCCCGCATAGGATTATATTGCCTTGTTTAATCCTGTCAATTTTGTTAAGCAGCATGCGCAGGTATTGTCCCTGTCGCTCGTTGGGGAAGTATGTGGCTATCAGCGTAAGTTGGATGCTGTTGAACTGGCCCACTAATATAATATATCTACCCTTCGGATCTATACTTTTTTGGTGTATGGTAATTGCTACGTCTTTGTGAATAAGGACTGTTACGCCCTTTGATTTAGTGGCGGCCTGGGAGTGGAACTGAGTGGGGTACACCTTTGTGTATATTGCCGGGGTGTGGTCGTCCCTAAAGTGTGTCTCCTGGATACATGCTATGTCGATCTGGTTTTTTTTGAGGTCATTCAGTAGTAGCCTCCTTTTACCCGGGGTGTTTAGCCCTTTTACATTGTAGGTGACTAATTTCATAATGGTGTTCTTGGTGGTCTCTAAATCTAATCGTGGGCATATCTGTAATGGCACTTAGTTTGGTTGTCCTCGAATCGGCATGGTTATGGGGTGGTGGTTGGCGTCTTTTGATGCTTTGTGAGGGCTGGGGGTAGGGGACAGTAGAAGGTGAGAAACACATAGGGGTTGTGGGACAAACAGGCAGGCAATACGCCTGGAAGGGCTCCGTCTCGGGGAGCCAAGATGCGCCGGGAGAATCCCGGTCACAATCAGTGGGGGGTGGGTGTATGAGCCCGGTCGTAATCCGGGGACTCAACCGTGGTTGCAGCAGTGGGATCACAGCGTTGCAACAAAAGTATAGAGGCGCCTTCTAGGATTTCGATTCAGGGGCCTTCCAATGAGTTGGCCCTAGGGTATAGCGCCCGTGCCCCAGAGGTCCTGTGAACTAACCCCTGAACCTGTAACTTTGGGCACCTGTACTTGTTAATGTGGGTGCAAAAAGCTAAACCAAACCAAGGGGGGAACAGAATGAATACATTTGTTACTTTAAACTCACATGCTTGTCATCTTAAGTCTCTAGTGGTATATTCATGGGTCTGTGACCGCTTGTCGCCTTATGGAGGCAAGAGGTGACTGCGGTGTTCATGCGGTTGACCAGTCTCTTGGTACTCTGGGGATTTTAGGGCGGTGTTGTTTCTCTTCCTCTGCGACCTGTATGCCCCAGTCCTTGAGTTTAAGGAGCCCCATTTCAGTGTTGAGTATCACGTGCATTTTCCCCTCGCGGTGGATCAGTAGTTTGGCTGGGTATCCCCACCTGTAGGCGATGTTCTTCTCTCGCAGGGTCGCTGTGATCTGGGTCAGACTTTTCCTAAACTGTAGTGTTTCTGCTGATAAGTCGGCAAAAATTTTGATGTGTCCATACGGGTCCGGCATGCCTGCCGTTCTGCTTTCTCTCATGATCTGTTCTTTCACGTGGAAAAAATGTACACGTGCGATGACATCCCTCTCTGTGGTGGGCGGCATATGTTGTGGCCATCTCAGGCGATGTACCCTGTCTACTACCATCTGGTCTGGGTGGATGGCTGGAGCTAGCGCTTGGAACATGTCCTGGAGGTAGTCACCCAGGCCCGCCGGCAGTACCGTTTCAGGGATGCCCCTTATCCGGATGTTGTTTCTCCGGGAGCGGTCTTCCAGGTCAGCCACTTTTGTTTTAAGGTTATTTAGTTGTGTTTCATAGTCCTGCACTTTTTCAGCCAGGTAGTTATGGGCATCTGTGCAATCATCCAGTTTCTGCTCTATTTGGGCTGTACGCTGGCCTATGTCTGCCACGTCTTTCCTTAACTCTGTTGCTAGGTTGTGCAGTTGTTTCTTCATAGCAGCCTGGAAGTTGTCAGCTAGTTCTGCTAGCATGAGCCTCATTGAGGTTGTGGTAAGGGGCTGCTCCTCTGCCAGGGAGGTGATAGAAGTTGTAGGTGATATGGATCCCTCGCGGGAGCAATCTCCGCCGCCATCTTGTACTCGGCCGCCGGTTTCCCGCGGTTTTTTCGCGGCGGATCTGGCCATAAAAAAGGACGCTCGTTCCTCTTTGGCAGCTTTTTGTTTCTGCCTCTGGGACATTGTGGGTCTTTGGGTACCTTTATTTTGTGCTCTGTAGTCCGTTTAGTTGTGCTCCGTCCTCAGTGCTGCGGGAGCTTTACAGACGTGCGTCCATGTTGCTCGAGCTCCAGGCCACGCCCCCACAGTTAATATTTTAACGAGTTTGGATCAGGGGTGCGAGCTTACTGTACTGCTGAATCTTGAAAATCAAAATAACACTTCTTTTCCAGTTGAGAACTGGTTTGTTGAGCAAAAGAAGAACATTTAGACTGGTACTAATACATCATTTCTTAATAGAACTGCAATCGTGTGTATATTATGTGTGTTATTATTTAGTGTGTTGAACTTATTGAGGTATACCAACATTTCAGTTGGACAAAGAGGGACACATTAATTTTAGGGGTGTGACCTGGCGCGGCGGTGTTCTGAGAAATGTTAGGTGATTAAGTAATAATTTGTTAAACTAATATGTAATTTAGAACAAAAACAATGTATGTTCACACAGATTGAATTCTAAACACATTTATTATAGTTTGTAGACACATTACTGGGGGTATTATTGATGTGGAGCTCTGGTATAAATTCAGACACACCAACAATATGGAGCTCCTAGAAAGGAGGGACATTAGACTTGACATAAGGGACAGAGATGTTTGGGCTCAAAATAGGGACTGTCCCTTCTAAATCCCCATCCCTGTTTCTTAGACCTTGATTCACAAATCCTCAGGAAAATTCGGACTCTTCATTTTTTCTAAGCACTTCTAGAAAGTTCTGGAAAGGGAACAGCCCACATAACATTGTTTCTGTTAGATATACAATTGTGTGGAAAAATTAGACACATGCTAAACAAAATGAAATGTAATAAATATCTTGCAAATATTTACAAATGTGAGACATGAGTAAACTCATAATAGCTCATTAACTATTTAATTGTTTATAATTTTGTAACAGGACAACACTTAGATCAGCATATTACTTGCGGCCAAGCTTTTGCAATATTACAATGTTGCAACAATACAAACTATGTGACTAAAAATGCGTTGGTATTGAATAATTTTTTTTTTTCATTCTTTATTTTGTTTGTGCAGCAAATTTGACAGTAACTGTATCAACATTTATAAACAGTAGTTACAAGAGTTCGGTTCACAGGTGATTGAGGTAATAGAGAAATTACGATCTTGATCGCACATTCGATACATCTTACATAAACATTTTAATAATTTTTGAAACACAAAATTAAATATTTTTTTAAAATTAATTAATTAAATATTCCATAGTTTATTTTTTTCTATAATGTGTTAATATTTGTCCTGCACTTTTGCCTATTTGAAGAAATTCTTACTATTAGTAACAGCACAAGGTTTGAAAGCTGCTATATTGGGTTACACCCTGTGCAGCCATTTGTCCTTCTTACTGTGAATTTTAGGGAAAATCCCACAATTTGGCCTTAAATTTTAATTTGGGTATACACTTCAGAACAAACTCAAGGAATAAATCAGTACACGTATATATCCTTTTTGGAATAACTTTGTGTTTGCTACAAAATTAACCCCAGAAATGTTTGGAGAAAAACTACCACAACAAGAGGACATAGTCTTAAATTAGAGGGGTAAAGGTTTAAAAATAATATCAGGAAGTATTACTTTACTGATAGGGTAGTGGATGCATGGAATAGCCTTCCAGCTGAAGTGGTGGAGGTTAACACAGTGGGGGAGTTTATGCATGTGTGGGATAGGCATAAGGCTATTCTAGCTATAAGATAAGACTAGGGACTAATGAAAGTATTTAGAAAATTGGGCAGACTAGATGGGCCGAATGGTTCTTATCTGCCGTCACATTCTATGTTTCTATGTTTCAGTTCTACAGAATACACATCATATATATATTAAAAAAAAAGAAAATAACCAGGGCTGTGGGATCACCACACAACACGTTTGATTCTCTTCAATATATGGTACCACTGACTGCAACTCCATATGTTATTTTTTTTTGTAAATATCTTTTTATTAAACCTTTTCGTTTTTGTCGATTTTGCAACATGTCAAAGAGAAACGTGGACTCGCAGGTCCCTCTGGTCATTCACAGAAGCTTATACATCGGAAGGCATGTGATGACATACGTGTCTGGGCGACTCGCAGGTCGCTTTCTTGAGTAAATAGCATGTGTATTGTGGACTCGCAGGTCTGGTGTTACATGGTGGTGCTTAGTACTCTGTTATATTTGATATGTACCATTTCTACGTTGGGTGGTTCTGCATGCCCCACCGTGGTTGTGTTTTGTTTGTCTATTCCCCATGCCTACCCTGTAGCCTCTAGGCAGTAGTGAGACATGTGGCCATCTGGTGTGTAGGGTCCCTTTGGGACGTGCAGCCCCCCAGTGACCTTGTGTCCAGGGTCCAACCTGGCCATATTGTGGGGTGTTGGCCCCCTGCCGTAGTATAATGTGGTTCTGCCCAGCGGCATAGGTGGTGTTGGTGGGAATAACCTAAGGGGCATCCTGCGACTCCCTCCAAACTAATGAGCTTTATAGCTCACAAAACAGGCGCTCTTCCACCCCCTTTACTCGCGAGGCCACAGTCCGCCCCGAGCCCCGCAAGTGGTTGCACTCTAGCGGGTGTCGTGGCCCTCCCCGCACGCCCCCCGGGTCCCCCGAACCCGCGCTCCACCCCGCTCCGATAGGGGGCGGGGGTGAGGTATCGCGTTTTGGGCCAGGTGTGGATCGTCCCGCTAGTCTCCCAGCGTCTCCTCCTGGGGATTATCGGTTCCCTCCTCCCTGGTCAATTGCATAGTCCGAAATGCCTCTGTACCCACCCGTGCCAACCAGGGTGTCCATGTGTCTAAGTATGTCTGCGTTCGGTCTTGGGCTGAATACCAGATCTCCTCTGTGACTCGTAACTCCTCCATTCTAGTAAACCACAGGGAGAGTGTTGGGGTCGTGTCTTTTTTCCAGTACAAAGGTATTAGGTGTTTTGCGACGTTAAGGATTCGGATGGTCAGGGAGCGTTTGTAGCGTGATGTGGGGGTTGTCGTGTGGTGTAGGAGGTACGGGGCGGGCCGGAAGGGTGGGACATTGTCCGTGAACATGGCCACCATGGCAGCTATTTGCTCCCAGAATGGTACTATAAGTGGGCATTCCCACCATATGTGAAGAAAGGATCCCACCCCTCTCTTGCACCTCCAGCAGAGGCCATCCACGTCCAAGTGCATTCTCTGTAAGCGCTCTGGGGTCAGGTACCATTGTGTGAGAACCTTATAGGCAGTTTCCTGGGTTTTGCTCGCGATTGCGCAGTGGTGCACTAGATCGCAGATCTTGTGCCACTGGGTCTCCGTAAATGTTTCCCCCACGGCAGTCTCCCATTTGGGGGGTGGGGGGTGGGGGGTGTCCCTGTTGTCGTTGTAGCATGGAGTAGAGGTAGGAAATGCTATGGGGCATGGGCTCAGGGTCCTGGCACAGCTGTTCGAATGGCGTAAGGTCCCTATATACGTCGGGATGTTGTGGTATAGCAGTGATGTAGTTCTTAATTTGGGTGTATCTGAATTTCGTCAAGAAGGGCTGAGTGGGTGTGCCCATGAGCGACTGTAGGGACACGATTTTCCCATTGGTGGTCATGTCTCGGAGTCTGGGTATGGTTTGGGGGAGGACGCAGCGGAGGCTCCCCGGTCCCATCCCCGGTCCCATCCCCGGTTCAAACTCTGGGTTGTACACCAGAGGCAGCAGCGGGGATGGGAAGGAGGAGAGGCGTAGTTTCCTCGCCTTTGAGTGCCATACGGTGAGGGTGGCGGTGATAAAGGGCTGTTGGTGGACTAGCCGCCTACCAATCAGTGGGTCCAGCCACAGGAGGGCTGAAAGGGGCCTGCCTGCGTGGTGTGTTTCGATAGCCTTCCAGGGTTTGCTAATCCCCTCTTTTGCCCATTCCATGGCCCGTTGCATGTGACATCCTTGGTAATACAGTTTGAAATCAGGAACTGCCAGGCCTCCTGCTGTTTTGGGGAGTGTGAGTTGTGTGTACTCACCAGATAAATTTGATGAGGAGGGTGCGGAGTGCGGAGAAGAAGGTGGTAGGGAGTTGGAGTGGTAGTGTCTGGAATAGGTAAAGTACCCGTGGGAGGATATTCATTTTGGCAATGGCCACCCTGCCGAGCCAGGAGAAGTGAGGTGTGGTCCATTCTGTCAGGTTCTTCCGTAATGTTGTCATCAGTGGGGTGAAGTTCATATGGTAAGGTTTGGATAGGTCGGCCGTGAGCTTCACCCCCAGGTATTTTATAGTGGTGTCTTGCCATTGGAAGGGAAAATTTCTTCGGATTTGGTCTGCCCTCTTCCGGGGGAAGCCAATGTTA